ATTGACTGAGGTGCTCGCCCCGAGGATTCATCACCACCATCATGCACTAAAACTCCACTGTCCATGCACTTGAAGAACACACCCTGGGTCCATTGACTTTTATTTTTCTGACCAACGATAACAGAGTTTGACTAGAGCAAGTGCCGGACGGTGAAACTGGCACTCGCTGAGCAAGTTAACACGTCAACGTGGTACTGAATTTGCTAAGCGGGTGGACTTTTGTCGATAATCAAGACCGCATGACGTCGACGGTTAGATGCTGTAACTAGCAGTCCCGTGTGCGACTGTGAGTTGTTGTGGGGAGGAAGTGGATAAACGAGCATTAGAGGAAATGCGAAAAAGAGAAAGGGAGAAAAAGAGAAACAGAGAGACAAGAGAGACAAAAGAATGAAAAAGAATGGGACACCTGCTGTAGTTGGAGAAATTTCGCGGCTGCATTTCCGCTATCCGGGAGCCTTACCGCTATTATAGATCGATGGGTTTGGGGTGGCCTGATTCACAGCAACGACTTGCATATCACAAATATGGACATCTATGAGAATATCCCTCAGTCCTCGTTGGATTGTAAGGATGACGGGAAATGTCTTCTTCGGGCTTTGTCTTTCTCTTGCCTTAGTTAGTTTCAGTGCGTAGGTAAGGTAGTTAGTGCTTGGAATAGCCCGTCTTGCTCAACTGAACCTTGGCTGAGACGAAGCTCTCGTCGTATCCAAGATCCATAATTAAACATGGAATTCGCTTCATAATGGATCTGAGTTGACAGGGAAGCAACTGGGCTCTTTGGCAGAATCGCAAAGAAGGTTTCATTTCAAAGGAGCGGGCGGGATGATTCCAGACCGCAAGGACCGCTTAGGAACATGATAGTTAATGAAATCATCATATCATTGCTTCTTAGTGGACATGGTTCTGTTACACAGTGAGTGAGTGGGTGAAGTAAAGTGAATAGGCTTCTTGTCTATTTACCGATAGCTCGGGTTCAAATCGCGGAGGTTTTCGTCCATTCGGCAGTTGTACAACTGATCAAATGATCGACTGCTACCTCAGCCTTCATCTCACTTACGCAACATCTGCATGCACGTGTCCAATTCCATGTCCATGGCATGGCATGGCTTCTTCAATTGCATTGCATCAAGGAACGGACTGTCTCCCAGCCGCGGACTCCGATCGGTTTCGGCACCATGAACAAGTCCGGCTATCGATCTTGTTTCCAAAACCTGAGACGTCCTGTGACTGTGACCTCTACACATTGGAGATGAAGCTGGCGGCTTGCTCTTTCATACCCCCCCTTTTGGCTCCTAGGTTGCCAGCCAAGGTATTCTGGGTATTCGGACTTCTGGAGTCTTTGTTCGTCACGAAACTGCGGTAAGACGCCTGCCAAAGACGGTTGATATATCCGAGCCCAGAGAAGGTATCATCGCGGAAGTCTAACGGTGCAGCGGTACGTGGCTTTGAGTTTATAAGCATGTCTGATCACCACTGCCGTCCCTCCTTATGGGGATCAACGGCTGCTCAACCGTCCGTCCGTATAGTAGTTGCTGTATGTAATCTGAGTTGAGTTAGTAATTGCCTGCCCCAGCCCTATACGGTCAAGAAAAAGCCTCCACGGAGGGCGGCACTTCAAAGTTCAAACCTCAATGCCTGGCCCTGGGCGGCCTTCGTAAAGGCGCCGTGAAAGCGAAATTCGGAGTCGGGGTCGGGGTTGATAGATAATCTTCGCTTCACTTAAAGTTGGACTTAACTCTGTACTGTAACTCACGGTCCCTGGTATGTGGGACCTTTGATGAAGCGCTCATCATTCATCACAGCCCGCCTGGCGCTAGATTCAACCGCATCCCGCCCGCTTACACAATCAACTTTGAGGCCCTTATTCAGCGCCTGCGAACCCCTAATAACCTACGAATTGAGTATAGCACTACCTGTAGCTATGGCCGGCCTGGAGCCGCAATCATGCACAAGCCTGTGTCCGTATCATGACATGGTATAAGACGTGTCCTCTGCTCATGTCTTTACACGAGAATCAGAACATGAATACCAGAACATCATCCAACAAGTTTGGTACCTATGCATGGAGAGTTGGTCGATGGGATAGACCGAGGCAGACCCATTATAATTGAACCTTCAAGAGGACGATCGTTGTCTATCTTGGCTGCTTGATGAACGTGCTTTACGATTTCGCATCGTACCTGATGAGTATCTGTCATCGGCGTTGGTGATTCGTATCGGCGCCGAGAAATGGAGACCCCTGTTGATGACTGCAAAAGAACCCAGGACCATAGCGCTGGAATATCGCAGCTTACAAAACAGCGACAACTACCGTGACTAGCTTCACTGAAGGTTGCAATTAGGCACGGAATCAAATATCGGCCCGCCAGCCTACAAATGGCTGGTGAGTAATGAGTTGTCGCTTTTGGCTGTGCAACGGCCGCACAGCGTGGCCATGAGAACCTTAACAAGGTCGCGGGATCATAACATCCTTGCCTGTCAGTGGGAGTCTGGAGTCTGGCAGCGCGAGAGAGCCCTGGAGCCCTTGCTACGGGGTCGCGGGTGCACATCTCATTTCTTGAAAGATGGAGATAATGGATGGTCCCCCCCCGGTTTCCCTCCAAGGAGAGACGCAATCGCCATTTGTCATTGGGTTCCAGGACAAAGTTCTTCTGCTCTTGGTAACCAACCCCGAGCTAAACTACCTAACCTAGCGACCATCATCCGCTGTATTGGTAATCCACGTGGATTCACAAGAGAGGAAGCGAAAGAAAAAAAAAACATAGGAAAAAAATGAGACGAGATGGAATCACCCAAGGCCAAAAGCCAAGGTACCATACGTAAATCGGCCCCGAAGATGACGGAGGTCGGTCGCGCGGGATGCTCTCAAAGTCGGCGCTTATTAAACCCCGACAGAGCCAGTTAGTACATACTAAACTAAGTCACTCTAATCAATCAAAAGGCCCCAGGCTCATTCTCAAGCTCACCTTACCCTTCTAGAAGCACCAAAATTCGGTCAGTGGCGACAACAGCGGTGGAAGTACGGCAATAAGTGGACAGGATAGGGAGATGGGATCCATCTTTCTACCTCCACCTACTAAGGTACTGTAAGTCTGCAACTGATCAAGATGCAGTCCGTTTCTGGGCATCTGGGCAATGCACCGTCCGTAGCGAGCGAGATGGCCCTACAGACCTTGCTTGGCTACCTACTTGGATATACATAAGAAGGATGATGCATCAGCAACTTGTCTCTTGATCGAGCACGATGACGAGATCGGTCTGGGGAGTAGACCGACCATGTAAGGAGAGGACAAGAATTATACACATATACACGCATATAGAAATAGCCGCATTATATTCCCTGTGGGGTACAGTCTTACACACAGCCAATATCTTACAGTTTTCCAGTGATGGTGTTGGAAACGTTGTACAAAGTAATCAAGTCCGAGATTGTAGGAGCTCTACTGGGTCATCTGCACCTCCAAACAATAAGCATCAATCCCGTCCGTCTTACTGTGCAATGCAGTGTAGTAAGTGTAGCGTTATGCAGCGCAATTAAGTACCATTTGCCGTTCTGAAACCAGAAACAAAGCTTCAAAAGTTCGACCATGGTCAGAGCCAGAGTCCACTGGTACGGCAGTCAGCGATGCATTCTGATCCTTGCGAGTGATTTGATATTATACGCAAAATACGCGCTCAGTGACAGTCTCCGTATTGTTAGGTACTGTAATTGTTGTACAGCCACAGGGGAAGGGGATCGCCAAAAACACCCCTCGTTAGCACCTCGCTCGCTCAATGCTCGTTCTCGGTCTCGCACCCTGATGCTGATCAAGGGCATGGCTTGGCAGAGACTCATCATACAGTATGTACACTCATCAGCCTCGCTCTTATGCTTTGAGTTTTTGGGTACAATTTGCTTGCGCCCTGAGAACGCGTTGTCCCTCATTTTGATGGGCGCCCAATCAATTTGTATTTCCAACGGTCGACTCTAACTGATAACCCCTTAGCTGTAATGTAAGCACCAGCAGTTGGGGAAGCAACCAAGCCTCCCGTCAGCCATCACCACCATCACTAAATCAATCAATCAATCAATCAGTACGTACCCAACATTCATTCACTCATTCTCTTAAGTCCGCCGCCGTCAACGCGGGCGGACTTTTAGGTCGCTCCAGTGCCTCAAACTTCCAGAGGATCCACACCATCACCATCAACAGAACATCAACATCCATCATCTGCGGGTCCATCTCAACCCCTGCTAGCCTCGACTCCCTGGACGATCCCTGTAGCATGGAGCACTCTAGCACTTCTCTCGCCTTCTCGGACATAATGACCACGCCGACCGTTAGCTACACGCCCTCCACTCCCAATACCAAGGTAGGTAACTCACTCGAGTACCGTACTCATCCTCACGGGCACTCATTCACTCGTAACTCATGCCGCAGCGCGCGGGCGGGAACTTCCTTTGCACTCTCTCTGATACCTGATGTACCTACTCATTCATACCTTGCCTTGCCTACCTGTGTTCTAAAGTCTACACCCTACGAAAACCTTCCGACCGCCGTGGACCGGGATCGCTCGTTCTCACATAATACCTACATACATAACTCAAAATCCATAATAATTCAAGGCCCTCTCTTCTCTCACTCTAGATTCTGGACTCTACGCATAACTCACTTCCTTATTACTGTCCTGTCGCCAAGTCACCTCCAGTCACACAAGATCCAACCTTGCTTGACTTGACCTGCCTTTTGGCCTCGCCTACAACTATTATTAAGCTGCTCGAATCCTTTTTTTTCTTTCTTCCCCCTCCTCTTCCACTCTAGATTTCATATCTACTATATACATACATCACCACCCACTCCTGTCCCAGGTGCTTGGTACTCACTCTACTACCACCACTGGCTTACACCACTCAATATCCACCCAATCCAAACACAACCCACATTTTGGATTGTATATCGCCTCAATCAACTTTTCTTGGCACATCATATAGTCATATTAGATATATAACTACAGCAGCAATGGGATCAGGTAGCTTACCATCACCTCCCGCCGAGGATCATAAGTCGACCCTCTCTCGAAAGAGCACATCGTCAAGTTCCAAGTCTGTCAAGCCTGTGCACCGCACTTCCAAGCGAGCCAGCTCCAGTGCTGCCACAATTCACCACCACGACCATGTCACACATACAACTGGTATGGACGGCCGACATAAGCGTGTGTGGAAGGCTTGTGAAAGATGCCGAATGAAGAAGACCAAGGCACGTTTCCAGTACTACCTCTCTTTAACCCCACCTCTCACTAACACGAACTCAAGTGTGACGGTGAATTCCCATGCAAGCGATGCAAAGACGACGGTCTAGTCTGCACAGCTGGTGTGCGTAAGAAGATGGAATACAAGCAATTGCCTAGAGGGTACGTGCTCAGATTTCTCAGTTTGGTCTGCATCTCACTTATACGCAATAGTTACGCCGAGGTTCTCGAGAACACACAATTCGCCCTCATTGCTACAGTCCACAAGCTCTACTCAATGGTTCGAAACAACCAGTCTTGGGATTTGGGAGAGCCCGAACTCAACGACCGCGGCCAGCCCGTGATCCACAACATCGCCCAGAAGCTCGGCTGCATCCGCCCCAACAGCGATATCGACCTCCCTGTTCACTCAGTGTTCCCTGAAGACGAAGCTGGCATGGCTGAGCTGGCTCGGCAGCTCGAGGATCAACAGAAGGAGCACGAGCCTGCAAAGGAAACCATCAAGGACACTGATTCATCCGTGTGCAACCGAACCGAGCGAGCGTCATCATCAGAGCTCGATCACTCCGACTTTGAGCACGACTATCGAAGGGCCGCCTTTGGTAACACCAATGCCATGACCCTCTCACCGCAGAGCTTCACAGGCAGCGCCGACTTCGATTTTGCCCCTCCACCGCCCGAGATAGATGCTTCTAGCCTGTTCCCCTCGCAATCGCCCGCCATGAGCAACTTTCCCGCCTGGACAATGACCAAGCCCCAGCCTAGCGACCTCACCATGCAATTTCTACAACAGCAGCAACAGAATGGCATGATGGCAAATATGGACTTGTTGAATCAGGGCCTCGTCGAATCAGAATTTGGAACAATCAAGCCTCACGTTCTGTCATGTCCCAACCCTGAAGTTATGCTGGGCATGGGCGATCCCATGATATATTCTGGCTACGACGGTGAACCGATGAGACTATAAGCAGATGCGACTATAAACACTTACTTGACTGTACAGTACTATAGACTTGTTTACGGCCATCTTCATGTTACGTCAAAATTTGTCACGCGGCACGGTGTTTATCGGGATTCAATTTTTTCTGGGCTTTCATTTCTTGTTTGGTTGGGTTTATACCCTTGGGGGTTTGGTGTTAAAAGGCACGGTTTCACCTCACATGTGTGAGGTTCGGTGCGGCGTTGTATGTTTTCCGACTGCCGACGGGATATGGGACTACTTGTACAAAGCTCGCCCAGCTCGACGCCACGACAGGACAGGATAGGACAGGGCAACGTGGTGATTTGGAGATTGCATGATACAAAGAAGATGGATGTGGAATGACAACCACGAGCACGACCATGGCACAAGCCTCTTGTCAGAAGCACAGAGAGCCAAAGTTGAGATAAAAATCACGCCATTCGAGGGAGGGATAGGATAGGAATAGGGTTTTTGAGAAGGATGCATATTTTGAATAGACCTGTACATATCATATGGATAACATACCTAATCCGACTCCCTAAATTATCATATCAGATTGCCTGGTTCAATTGCACATGTCGGTCCATTGCTGGCTGGCTCATCACATATCTTATAGTCACTGTGGGGATGCAGTCACATCAATGGATCCTACCATGCCCTTTGAGCCGCCCGCAAAAGCATATCGTTCATCCTTTAATACATACTCTATTACTGTATGCATGTATCTAATAAGCCATAGGCACATCAGCCAACCCCCTCCATCAGATCATAGAGCATTTGATTTTGACCACACGTCACCCTGAGATGGTCGAGACCAACCCTTCGCTTAGCAGTCCCTTGTTCCCTTTCTTCTCTCTAGTTCTTTGATTCAGGGCCCTTTTGAAGATCCATAGCGCAAATCACCGAGCTGTCAAATTCCGGTTCCGTGCAAATGCCGTGGACACACACACACACACACACACACACACTTTGCCCGGACTTGGCACGGACCATTTGTGATTGATTGAGTTGGTGGACGATGTTATTCTTAACGGTTATGGTTAAGCTACGCTAATCAATGAATCAGCTGTGCTAGGGTGATTGTAAATCAAGCTCAACCTTGATGAGAAACAAGAACTAAAATATGAAAAAAAAAAAGGCCGAATGCATGATAATAAAAAATTACTCTGTTATCTTTTAGACAGTAGACAGTCGGTCTTAGACTGCTGCTAATAAGCTCTAATAAAAACTCGGCCGTCAATGGCAGATTCTAAACACACACCTCTATCTCACTGCTTATTTAGTGCTAGCACGGAAACCCGGAGCTAAGGTGCAGAGCCTTGGGAATCTCTATTGAGAAGGGATGCAGGTTGAGCCGTAAATCCGGCAGAGAGCTGCAATGTGCCGATGACCAACGACCAACGGCCAATGACCCGTAGATTCGCATTCCCCTTTTTGTGCTAGATATTAACGTTAGTCCCCATGGGCATAAGAGTCATCATCCATCATCTGCAGTCCCACGAGGGAAGTCTCTGCGTGATTGGCTGTTTTGGTGTATCCTATTGAGGCTGCTGGGTACGGTAGACGATGAGGGTGGATATGATTGGAAATTTGACAGCACTGCTTACGATAGCAGAGAGCCTGCAACTAGAGATAGATTCATAGTGTCGAAAAGACTGCCAGTCTGGGTATAAGATCCATTGGGTTAAGGGGCGGCCGAATTGATGACTTATTAGCTACGGGTTGAGTAATACACGCGCGACACGGGCTGATATGAATTCCGCTGGCGGCGCCTTTTTCTGAACTAACGCTGCGGGTATCTAGCTGGTTACAGAACAACAAAAAACGCCATTCGAACAAGGTTGGGAATGTGTGTCACCCAGTGTCAGTCAGCCCTAAGCTAAAGCGGCTTGCTCTGCTGTTGAGCGGGCGACCAAGGTCCGCGTCGGACCAAACAACGGACGAAGCAGACAGACATTTGATTTTGAAGCTGACGCTTACTGATGATACCGCCCTCTAGTGGCATTTATTTACAAGAGGAGCTCATCCTGCACTGAGTGAGTGAGTGACCCAACATACGACTGTACATATCATCATGATTACACATCATCACCATCCGCCGTTGATCGCCAAGGTAGTTACAGTAGCAAAAGGCAGTGAGTGGGACTGTGTCCGTACATCATCAACATGCATACAGTGAACAAACTCTATTGAGAGAGGAGCAAGATCAACGACTGACTGACAGACAGACAGTCAGTCAGACAGTCAGTCAGTCAGTCAACTCAATGCTCAGTAAGTTAACAAGGTTATTCATGGCGTTAAGGATCCTTGTTAAGAGCGAAAATGTCTTTGTTGTTCTGAATCTGTCCGTTTGTTTGCCTTTTGCGGTGCGGACTGATTTGATTGTCCGCGGGACACTTGGGGCTCCGCGGACGCGGACTGCGGAGTTGGAGGTCCAACCTCGCATTCCCCCCCTCTCATCTCAGACTCTCAGACTCAGAGTCTGAGACTCAGAAAATCAGAAACAAACGGGACCAAAAGCAAAAAAATGGGGGTCAAACTGGGGTCCGGCTTTCGGGCTTTTGGTACCCTCCGGCGGATGTGGGGTCAACGGACGGTGACGGCCTCAGCCAACGCCTAGGCGGGTTATGATGAATGGAGAAAAATGAGCTGGATAATAAGGGGTAAGAGACATTCGATTCGCATCATAGTTCATACCAGGCAGATCGGATCAGATCAGGTCAGGCCAGGTGTGTTGCTAGAGAGTTAACTCAAGACCGTTTACCTTTTGGGGATAATGCTTTATGTGTACGGAGTAGATTCAGGGTTTGACCTCCTTCGTTTTGTTCGGCGATGGCTCTTTGGAGAAGTCTTTGCGCGATCTCGATAAAGTAGATCAGATTGCGCTACGCCTTGCATCTTGCCTTTGCCTTTGCCTCTCTTCGTCCTGGACTTGGGCATTGAGTTTGAACCATCAGATAACGTTGATGGACTAAGCGAATTGCGTGGGATGAATCAGGTGTCGATCGATACAGCTGCATTCTTCGCAAAGCTCGTTTATTAAAGTACCAAGTTAGTCTTTACTGCATTTGGTTCAACTCGACAAGTCAATCATGATATCACACCCAATGCAGAACGACTGCCCAATGCATCTCAATGATCTGAGGCTGATGATGAGGGGAAAATAACTTTCGACTTCTCTTTCGAGATACGCGTTTTCGCATAGTCGCATTGTGACATTGGGGATGCGATACGATGCAGAATCACAATAATAAATGCCACAAAAGGTCACATGTGGACCTCGGTGCAGATGTGGGGCCGGGATGCGGGAGCGGGAAAAAAGCGAAGCGAAGCGAGGCAATGTGATGTGATAGCGAGGACGACGACTTACTATGTATATGGTGGGAGGGTTTCAGTGATGGCCATACAAGGTGTATTATATGTGCCAGCAACATGTTTAATTGCTAACATGTTGATCCCTCGAGACCAGATCAACTCCAATACAGCTAGATACTACTCCGTACCTATGTACGGAGTAGCAATCATGCCGACTGTGGTGGACTCAACCTCGATGATTCACAACCAGGGTTTCACACAGATCGACACCTCAAACTAACATTTCCAAGCTTCATTTTCGTATGTATGTACTCCGTACGCATACATGTTCTTCAACACCGAGTCCAAGCCACGTACAATACATGCATACATACATACATACACACAATAATTACCGGTACTCACTCACCCTCACCCTCACCTCACGTTACACCCGCCAAGGTCCCTGTCTTATTGAACCACACTCGTTCAACTCTTCCAATGATTCCCACCAGTTTCCGAACACACCCCGCAGTTAGCTAAACTTGTCCTCAGACATGGCAAGGCATACTATAGCATCCATCGTCCAACGTTAACTCAAGCCAAGTCTCTCATTTCCCTGACACAGAGGCTCAGACCGCTGGTCCACGTATCACCACGACAGCCAAGGCACTTGGGAGAAAACTCTACCCAGAAAATACGCCGTACTAAGCAGGTAGAGACCGTGTTCGATCTCGACCCCCCAATGAACCAGCGGGTGCGCGCTACATGCAACCCGTTTTGGGTAAATCCATTCGACCAGTCAGATCAGGCTCAGTCATCCTGATCCCTCGGGGTCTGAAGTAAGTAAGCTCTGGTCAAGGTCAAGCTATGTTGTGCTGTGCTGTGCTGTGTTGTGTCGAGAGGGCGCATCCGCGCACGTGCGCATGAAATTGGGCTCAAGGACCCGAGATATACGAAATCCCCCTCCCCAACTCTGTTTACGTGGAACAATCCGAGAATGAGAGGCAGCCAAGCCTTGGAAATATGTCTTGTCTTTTGGCGGCCCTGGCCTTGGCTCGGTCAATGTCCCCCCCCCCTCGGTCTTGGCTGTCTGTGGCTATGGATGGTTGCTGAACCCTTGAGCGACAAAATAATAGCAACAGCGTGTTAGACGGACGCCTTTTTGACCAGAGTCATCGGGTCCCGGCGTTTGAAAAGCCTGGGTCGCACAGTTGATTTGCCCGTAAAGGCGCATTTGCGTATGCGGGTCGGGCTTTGCTATTCCCCGCGTAAAAACATTTTGCATCCTCTGAAACTCTCTCGTGGATGAAAGGAGTACGCGTATTGGTTTTAGTGACCGAACCGGGCTTCAAATTGTGGCCGAGCAGTATTCAACCCAAACCATCTGATGTTTACTGACTGCAGCTATTAGTGTGCCGTGCTCATCAAAGCACTAATCAAGTAGAATTGCACCTAGTTATTCATGTTTCTTACCACCACATTCGCTCAGTTGTTGTTGGCTTTGGATATAAAAAGATACCCTCAACAACCTAGCTAGCTTCATAAACCCCGTGGATCTATCTAGTGCTGACTTGATCTGCTGGCAAAGTCTGGAACCCAATCGGAAAATAGGATCTAGGGGTCCTACATTTATTTATCACTACATGATATCAGTGTCACGCTTATAAAGCCCTCATGTCAGCCATGCTGAGCTGGCGCCAACACTGCAATTGTATTAACTCTCCCTGTCGTCCCATGTTAGTAGAGTCGGCCGACAGATAGGAGATTTTTTGACAATCAGCTCTGAGTGGAGCCCGAACGAGCATATGTATCCGAGATATGTCCCAACAGGGAACGCATTTCGAGTTGTCAGGAGTAGAAGCACGAAATTCGCCTATTCTGCTGTTGTGGTTCCAGGCCATTAGACGAAATGCTTCCTTATCTTACCTACAAAACGACACAGTCAGGAACATATCCATCACGGTGATAGTGGGACCAAGAACTCCCTAGCATGGAGCTCTACGTTGTATGTACACATCATACGGAGAGGCGTTGATTTAGTGGTGTTTCCTCGCTCGTACACAGTATGATGATCTTGTTGAGTTTTCGCGGCGAGTAATTATGTATAGTAACCCATAGGAGAATCTGTAATAGTACACCACCGTACTTAATCGAGGGCTTGAGGCCATAATACAAGCTTCAGGAAGAAATCGATTTGGCCAGGATGACAGAAGGGGGTTGTTGAAACAGTTTGTCTTTTGCTCATGACTTTACCTTGACACTTGACTGCCACTCAACCCATCTTTTCCCTCATATCCAATACTCTACATACTCCGACTGCAGCTATAGAGGAGACACGAATTCTTCTGAAGTCCGCACAAAGCTTTTGGTGCTGTTGGTGTTTTCCTGATGATGGATGGACTATTCGTTTACTGACAGAGGAACTCTCATGGACCCAAATATCAGGACTCTGAGCACTCGGAGTAAAATATCACCCTTTGCTGATGGCTCAAATTGTAGTATTGTCAAGATAGAACTCACAGTGAGCATTCATCCTGTATCACTGCCATGTATCAGTATACTTTTACCCCCTGTCTGAAGCGCAACGCTGTTATGCCATCAGGCGTTGTACGCTCAATGTTGAAGAGACTGTTTGCCTCTTTGAAGAGAGCCGTGATTGATATGCAGTTAAAATCTGTGTGCGTCCAACTGTACTCAACAAAGACTAGACTACCACGATCGAGAAGGCGTTGAGTTCAAGCCACCACCAGCATTTGTACACCTGCTCGTTCGATAGATTCCTAAGCGCACACAGCTATAGCTCTGCTGGTGTCAAATGGGGAAATCACTCTACAGATTTAGAGGCCAGCTCTGTAGCTTGTATACTCAGTTGGAAGACGCCGATACTCACCATCTTTGCCACAGGAAGACAGTCCCATATATTCAGTATTACCTTACAATGTTTTATCCCTTTTCAAGTACCGAAATAGACATAGTAGTTGTCCCGCGAGTCGGAGCTACGGTTGTTAATCTCTCATATATCAGACCGTCATTGACGTGCGTCTATACTAATTGAAAAAAGCGTTTACTATTCCTCTGGCATGTCTTAGGTGGATGTAAGATGGATGTTAGTCTCGACGTCTCAAGGAGTTATTATCGATATTATACTTCGTTCAACATCATGGGACTGGACTCTGGAGGTGAAGGATATCTATCTGTGTTCAAGGATAGATTTGGAGAGCACATTCAAAGCACCATGATGAAGAATACACGAAAGTTTACTCATGAAATTTTCTCAATCTCGCCGGGGAGTGCAACTATGGTACGGTTGACTACATGGGCTGGAAACACCAGGTCGAGGCTTTACACGAAAGGCACATCTTTACGTCGGATAGAATCGCAGATAACGCACCTTACGACTTTCAACATTAAGTAATCAACACAAATATCCTGCCAGAGCTATAACAAAGGCCAGGTAGCATTACCTATGCTAAACGCCCCTACCCCTATTTCATGTCCTATGTCCCATGTCCTCACAACGCCAGTTGTATCGTGATATCTCATCTCTTCAGTCGTGTTCGCATCTCTTAATTCTTGATATCCAAAACCTGTGTTAAAACACCCTCACTCGCTCTCCACCAGCGAGCTCTCTCCTCCAGGTCGTCAGCTGCACCGCCCAAAGCGGCCTCCTTTCTCCTCCTCGCCTCACGCGCAGCTGTCGCACTATTTTGGCGCTTGTTCTCGAGAGGCTGCAGTTCAATGCGAAGTCTTTCAGCCTCCTTTCTTTTCCGAGGGACCTTGGCTTGTAAGGATTCCAGCTCTCGCGCGAGTTCCTGCTGTTCGAGCTTGCGTTGGTTGACAAGATCCTGAGTTTTGGCCAGAGGCAGATTCATGCTGGGGGCGGATCCATCTGGGGTTTCTAGTTCTGTGCGTAATTGTTCAATTCGCGTTTCCAAATCCTCGATCTTTGTAGGCATCTCACGCAGCTTTGCCGTTTCAAGTTGCACACTCTCGTACTTCTGGCTAAGCTCGATACCTCTCCTCTCAAGATCTGCCACCATATCCGCCACTTCTGTCTTTAGTTCTTTGAGCTGCTTCTTCGCGATCGCGTTTTCTTTTTCGAGCTCCAGATTCTCTTCCATTGTGACAATCATTGGTGGGTCGCCGACAATGGCTCGGATGAACTTTTCCTTTGTGACTTGTTGTACATATGAGAAGCGTAGCTTGGCGAAGAGTTCTTTGTAGTGTGCTAGATCGGCTGTTAGCCCTGCGGGAGTTGGCGCATCAAAGGCTGAATTTGATGCATCTGATGTTCGTTGCCGGGCATCTTGAGGTCTTGAGCTTGAGATGGGTTCACTGAGTTTGATGATTGAGATTTCTTGCGATGACTGAAGTTTGTTCAAGGCTTCAAGAACCTTTTCTGGATTTGGCGGACTCATGATAGTCTGCGATATTGTGACAAAATAAGACCAGTTATTAGGCTGGTGATATAAAGCGCTGATTGTGTTTACTAAGTTGAACACAGATATGTTTACTTTGAAATCTGATTTGGGTTAGCGGGTCACCGTTTGAGCAGCAGGCGGTGTGGAGGGGCAGAAGAGTGCTGACATCAATGCATAGCACTTCTAGCCAAGTACAAGAGCTGCAACCTCTACTTACAACCTTTTTGGGGGCCGCAATCTCTGGGCAATATATGTATTTTACGACTGGCGCGTATCCAGGACTCTCGGGCTCGATCAATAATGTCAAACAACGATGACCTTTTAACCGACGATTATGTCGCGGACCTCTTGTCGCAAGAGGCAAGCGACTGCTCTCTCAAATATTCAGCCATGGGTATGGAAGCATATCGCACGAATAAGAAGTAATGCATACACCCAGCCACCAATTATGGCAAGTCTGTTGCTGACATGGCTTCAGACCTGCGAGTATGATGAAACCCAATACCCGATTTTTACGGCATATTATAAAGGACACCGACAATCACAACAAGGCGCTGTTAGCCAAAGAAGCCGCCGAGTCCAAGGCACGACTCAAGGATCTCGAGCGCACGGAAGAAATCAAGCGAAGCAAGACAAACCCGAGTGTTCATGACATTCGACGGCGGCAGATGGGCGATATTCATGCCATTTTAGGCGGCAAGAAACGGCCAAGAGACGAAGATGAGGCTGGTCCTTCTTCGAGGAGAGATTCGCGACGCGCCGGCAAGGATCGAAGACAGGAACGCAAACACGACCAGAGATCAGACGACCTTTTCACAGATAAGCACAGTGACCAGCGACAACACGGTCGACTGTCGCGCGATGATCGTCGCAGTAAGACTGACGACGAATCGAGGCGTTCGGATAGGTCACGAAGAGATCACAGGCAGCGCGATAGAACACGGAGCAGAGACAGAGACTCCGAAGAAGGAGGTCATCATCGTCGCAGTCAAAAACGGAGAGATAGGTCTAGATCACCTGCAAGCCGACGACGGTCTCGATCGCCCAGGGAATCTAAGAGTAAGCATCGACATCGATCGCCCAGGGATAAGAGCGAAGACCGCAAGCGGAAGGAAGAGGAGGAAGAGGGATCGGATGCCATGGAAGATCTAATCGGACCCGCACCGCCCCCGAAATATCGGGGTCGAGGAACAGTGGGAGGGTCTTCGGGTATCGATCGACGGTTTTCAGACACATACGATCCCAAGACTGACATACAAATGGATGAAGATGAGGTTGGTAATGACTGGGATGATGCTGTTGAGGCGTTTAGAGACCGCCAAAAGCTACGACAAACCCAGGAGCAACGTCTAAAAGACGCCGGTTTTGTAGACGAGCAAATACAGCGTGCAAGTGGTGCAGATGAAAAGTCTGCGGAAAATGTGCAATGGTCCAAGGCTGGAGAGAAAAGGGCTTGGGATGTTGGCAAGGTGATCGGGTCAGACGGAGTGGCCCAGCCAGAAATTTAGTTGAGCATCGATCGGTACGACCAACGGATTGGATCGAGGTTATGAGCCGAGACAATGATTCACAGATGATGATTGGATATAGCGTAACAGTCATTCACTGCCTTGTTTTTAGGGGTTGCTTTGGGCGGGTTGGTCGGTCAGGGAGAAATAGACCTTTTGGATAGGCATGGACGTACAGCGGAGCTCAAACAGACGCATTGGAAATATGATACGCGCGTACTAATGCAAAGGTTAGACGAATGTCACAACGTAGCCTCCACTATGGCCCAAACCGGTGCTGTTAAGGTAGAATCACAGGTCACTGAAGAATGAAGTCAGCACCTACCTAGGTAGGTATGTACAGACGCACATACAAAACTGAATTCGGTGCCTGAATCCGGGCAAGCCAGAAGTGACATGGATCAAAAACGCCATGTTTGACCAGATCGCGGTAGTGGCACAATTACACGGCCGATTCTGGCAATCCTCAACTTTGAGGCTGGATAGCGGTAACGCCGATGGAGCGATACCCAAGCCGGGCAATCGTAAGTGATTAGGTAGTTTGACTTGAATACAAGCTTAAACTTGATTCAATTCAAAGATGCAATCGATTAGTCTATAGTGTGAGGTTATGTTATCCCTTTTGCCCAAGGGATGGATTGTTGAAGTCGACCTCAAGCAGTCCCTTCAGCCCTTTAGCTCTTGGGATAGGGAGAAGTGACCAACAACAGACAAGGCCAAAAAGGCTTAGTCGACGCACGTCCAAGGGAATCAAGCAATAACGGATCTATTTTAAGGTCAAACTAAACCAAACGAAACGTGGACCTGCATCTGCAGACCCGTTACGTTGCCGAGGCAGGGCAGGGTTAGATTTAGATCAGGTACGAGTGAGCAGAGGAGAGGAGAGAAGGATCTTTGTTCAAGCTGTCTTTATACGAGCTTGATTGGTGAATTCGTATTTTGTGTTGCGCAAGCACTTTGGGGGTCGATCATTGGAGGTAGCGTAATATGGATGGATGAAAGGTTTCATGGTTCCGCGGGTCTCCGCAGCCCGCCGTTAGAACCTTTGGATACCTAAGGTAATTAGGGTGTAGTAGCTAAGGTAGTTAGTTACCTAGTAGTTAGCTGAAGGCTTAGACATGATCACTTTGTCTGTGCCTGTTCTGATTGAAGGGACTCACCTGACGCTCTCACGTGTCAGAAACTAACAAAGTTGTTAGTATTAAGTTAGTAGGTAGTCAGGCAGAGAAAAGAGGTTCCGAGAAACAACCACATCATCTCGTCTCATGCACGGAGCATAGAGAATGGAGAATGGGCCGTAACCGACCGTTTCACGGACAGCAAAACAAAACACGCGACTTTGTCAACACACTACGACGTTGCACCTGTACCCAACCTAAGGTACCTAGGTAGGTAGGTTAGTAGGTACTTAGCTTAGGTAGCAAGGTCAATGAGCCAAAGAAGTGTTGGTTTGTTGCACAGCAACTCGTCCAAGGCTCTGCAGCCTCGAGTCACGAGTTTACGGTTGCGGTAGACTAGACGCTCAGGAACAAGATTGATTGACTTTGAGGCGTCAAGTTTACCCCGAATATCTAGCTCTGGATATGAGTGGAGTAGCCTGCGCTAGAGAGTGGAGGCTGTTTCGTGACGTGACGTGACCACCAGAAGAAGACCAGAACAGAACGGAGAGAGAGAGTCCAGCCAAAGAGACCCTGGTTTTGAAGGGCGCCTGATCATTGCAGGGACCCACGGGTGTTGTCCAGCTGAGTTGAGTTGGGTTGGTCTCTGAGGTGTTCATGGCTTCACTTGAACCCTCGAGTCGGTTCAGTAAGACAAGCTCTTATCTCTCTCCCGTCTTAACCAGATCAACTGATTCTGAGACGTTGTTGGGTGGCCCCCCCCAGCAATAGCCAAGAAAAGCTCTCTTAAAGTCTAGAAGCCAAAGATAGGTACCTAGGTACCGTTAGGGACCTTGGAATGACAGGGGTTGAGGTGCCGGTTACAGCGCTCACAGCTCTAGCCTTCAGGTCACCCCCGCCTAGAAACCTCCACTTACGGCACCATGCCGCGTGCGTCTCGTCCCCTCTCATGCCATGTCATTGATTCGAATGCATTGTCTTTTGTCGTGAATTGATAACCTTTGTAACTTTTATGATCTACTCTTTTCCCACTCCCCCATTGCCAAGAAGAGAGTTTACAGTTTCTTCTTTTTTTTTTTTTCCTTTGTGAGATCGATCTATCTATCACTGAACCTTACCGATTTGGCTTTGCAGTCAGCCACACTGACATCAACTTTCCTTATACTCACTTACTTGCCTTACTCACGTTGTTTGCCTGGCAACTGATACTGACTGACCTTCTTGTTACTCGAGTCTCCCGTCTCATAAAGCAAAGACCCGACCTAGGCCATGCCATAGTTTTCTCTCGCTCACTCACCTCTCCCCGTCTCCGAGTGCTCCCATCGGAGCTTCACTTCCTTAAGTCTTCCTTTCTTCCATCCTCTTCTCCAAAAACAAAAAAGAGAGTGACCAGCGGATGATCGGCCTAGACCAGAGGTGACGTCTTTGGTTTATGTGACTTGTATATCTCCGAGTGACCCCAAGCCCAAGCCCAAACCCAAATCGAAACCCCAAGGTCACCTCACTCACACCTCAGCTCACCAGCACCAACCTCTCGTTCTCTCTCTTTTATCCTCCTCCTCCTCCTTCTTCCTTTCTCTCTCACCCCGTACCCTCGTCTCCATTCACCTATTTTGGAGGTTTTTGTTTTTGTACAGTCGCTCAAAATGCGTCCTCCGCGCGTCTTTGTTCTTATACTCTTTATCGCAGCCTCTCTCCTCCTCTTCTGTCGCGCTATATCATCCTCGCTCCGTACCGCCTACGCCGATTACCCCGCTGGTAACTTCAGGTCTAGACAAAAGACTGACTCCAAGTCGTCTCAGTCTCGGTCGCATGATGATGATTCAGAAAAGTCTCCAAAGTCCGTTTGGAACTCCATGTACTACAACACCCCATTCTCATTATTTCCGCCAAATGCTGCCATCAGCTTGACCGACGACAACAGCACCTCCTTTGCCGCCCGTCCTGCCGCTTTTGGTCCCAAGCTCGCTATGCGAGGTCTAAGTGGTCAGCTGTGGGTGGGCAGCGGTTTCGCAGAGGATGCTCTTATACACGGTACCGGCGAATTGGGCTGCAGCGACACACCAGGATGGAATGAGAGAGCAGAGGCCATTGCTCTGCACAAGGCCTTAAGGGCTGCTGTCCCTTCTATTTCGACTACCAGATCCAGCACTTCTGTCCGTGCTAAGCGAAGCAGAGTCGTAATCCCCAACGCTGGCAATGGTCACACCACCTCCAGCCATGTCTCTGTCATCCATGACCATTCCGAAATCGACGGGAAAGTGGCGCTACTAATGCGAGGCGGTTGCGGTTTTCTCGACAAAGTAATGTGGGCGCAGCGAAGAGGCGCTCTCGCCGTCATTGTTGGTGATAACCAGAAAGGCGGCCCTCTTATTCAGATGTTTGCGCATGGCCCTGAAGTCGATAACGTCACCATTCCATCCGTTTTCACTGCTCGCACGACCGCGCAGTTGCTGTCTGCGCTAACGCAACCGGGGAGCTTTATTGAAGATACATTAGACAACCAAGGCAATCCTGTTCTCAGAGTTCAGAGAGGTCCCAAGTCTAGGAAGCACAGTAGACAAGGCGTCAAGTCCACGATTACCGCCTCCACCCACGATAGACGATCTACCGACGGCAGCCACAGCCAAATTGAAGGACAATCTACCAAACCAGCCAGTAAAAAGCGAAAGACAGCGCTTAGATATTCCAGGAAAACATTCACCAGGAAAAACAAGGTTGTCAGAGGATCATCCAAAGAAATTCGAAGCCCCCTCTTATCTGAGGATAATTACGACGACTGGAGGCATCCTGGATCCAGAAGGTTTAAACCTGTAATTCCATCCAAGGCTTCCCTTGTTCGCGATCGCACGAGTGACGACGACCTTGAACCCGACGAGGAAGAAATTCTGGTTGAATTCTTGACAGAGGATGATGATAACGTCCTCGACTTTTCCCACGAACGAAGTGACGAGGGACATGACGAGCCCGACGACGCCGATGATGACGCACACGATGGGCTTTGGGTCACCATCACTCCCACGAGTAATGCTAGCCCGTTTTTCGATACGCTTCTCGTACTGGTCGTTAGCCCGCTAGTCACTCTGAGTTTCGTATACGCCCTTTTGATTCTTCGCGCTAGAATCCGCCGAAGGCGCTGGAGAGCTCCGAAGTCAGTCGTGGAACGCCTGCCCGTGCGCACGTTCCATACAGTCGCTCCCTCGCCGCCTTTGACCCCGAGAACTCCTTCACCGTCCGCTCCGACACCAACCACTCCTCTACTACAGGAAACTCCCTCGCGGCCACGACCTCGGTCGAGAGGCTCAACGGGTACTCCCGAAGAAGAAACGCAATCTAGTGACGCCATACCAACACCTTCAAACCCAACCAGGAACAATGCTCGATCTGAGCGCGAGAAGGGCTCTGGTGGGTTTTCTGCTGAGTGGAAAAAGTACATGGGACGTCAAGTCGAATGTGTGGTGTGTCTTGAGGAATACGTCGATGGCGTGAGCCAGGTCATGAGCCTCCCATGCGGTCACGAGTTTCACGTAGAGTGCATGTAAGTTCTCCAAATACATGCTAGTATGCAAGTCTCGTTTACTAACAGTCTATAGAACTCCCTGGTTGACGACTCGCCGACGAACTTGCCCCATCTGCAAGGGCGACGTAGTTCGATCTCTTGCTCATGGCTCATCATCTGAGCCGCATTACGAACCATATCGCGACGATGCAAGTGATGACGATGATGACGATGACGATGGAACTATTGCGGAGGGCTCTGGCTCTCGTTCTGATGACCATGAATCCGATCTTGAACAGGGATTGCTCACCAACGAAACCCGAACTTCGCGATGGAGTCGACACGACGGTTGGCTCAGTATTTTCTCCAGTGGCATTGGCAGGGCAAGGTCCCCCTCTCCTGAGGACCGCAACCGATGATGCTACAGATACCCTGCTTGTTATGGGCGGCGAGCCATATGACGTGGCGTTTTGTTTGTATAGGTTTGGAGTTTTCTGGTTATTATTTGGCGCAATGGATGGATAGCTAGCGCACTGGGATACAGAGCACAGGATGGATTGCTAGGACTTTAGAATATCACATATTTGAATTTGGTTATAGTCAATGGGTTGCGCATAATGGGTGTCAAGACACTTGCGCTGGGATAGGAATAGATATGGTATACCCTCATGGTCGGCTGTTGCATGTACTTTCCGGACCATCATGAATAATTAACAATTCACATTGCTTCATAACTTTCCCTGTTGTTTTATGAGGTCACATATTTGCAGGGGTTGGGATAATGTTGAACGCCGAATAAATACCACTGTCTATTTTTATCTTTGGATGACCCGAATTGTTTTTCAACATAACCCCTACCCTGTACTCTTAGATGTAACCCTTGAGAATGGCGGCCTCTGCGTTCAATATCGATGAACCAGCGGCACCAATGACGGCTGAAACGGTCAGTGTTAGGTAAGTCCAGAGGGGAAGATGCAAGACTCACTGTTGTGGCTCAGGGCTGTAAACTTAATGTCAAAAATGCCAGCCTCATCCTCACGAACACGGCCGACGCTGACAGTGTAGCCACGGCCAAGGTCGCGGTCCAGACGGGGCTGAGGGCGGTCAGGCTCATCGTCACCAAAGACCTTGATAGCGGGCTCAGGTGCCGAAGGGCATCCGAGAGCCTGGGCCTCACTCTTGTAATCCCGAAGAGCCTTACGAACCTCCTCAGCTGAAGGAGCAGGCTTGCGCTCAAAGCTCAAACTGACACATGCAGTGTGGCCGTCCATGACTGGAACACGGTTACAAGTGGCAGAGACACGGAGACCCTCTTGCTCAATGAAAGCAGTACCCTTGTCATCAAGGCGACCCAGAATCTTGCGGGCTTCAGTCTCGAGCTTGTCCTCCTCGCCAGAGATGAAGGGGACAATGTTATCGATGATATCCATGCTAGAGACTCCAGGGTAACCAGCGCCAGAAACGGCCTGCAGAGTAACGATGGAGACTGTAGAGATGGGTCCGAAAGCAGCCTGGAGAGCGGCGAAGGGAATAACGAGACCAATGACGGCGCAGTTGGAGTTGCACACGAGGAAGCCCTTGTTGAGAGAGCGAACAGAGCGCTGATGAGGGATGAGGTCGAGATGGGGGAGGTTGACGGTGGGAACGACGAGAGGCACCAGAGGATCGCGACGGTAGTTCTTTGCGTTGGAGAAGACAGGAATGTCGGCCTTGATAAACTCGAGCTCTGCAGGCACATAAAGTTAGTGATATCAGCTATTACCGATACGTGATGTGATAGAGAGGGATATACCGATATCGCCAGCGACGTCAGAGTCAAGACCACTGAAGACAACATCACAGTCCTTGAACTCCTCAGCCTTGCATTCTCTCACAACCATCTCGGCAATATCGCCCATGGGCGCAGCCTGCTTCCATCGTACGGCATCCTTGTACTTCTTGCCGGCGGAACGAGATGAGGCGCCGATGGCGTGGAGGGTGAGGTATGGGTGCTGAGCGAGGAGGAGGATGAAGCGCTGGCCTACAGAGCCAGTGGCGCCGAGGACACCTGGAGATGGATCAGTATTGATGCTAAATAGGTACGTATGTAGACGTTGTCATGGAAAGGATAGTGGTGGTGCGAAATCGGATAGAGAGGGTGGGTGTTGAGGGCGACGTACCGCACTTCTTGGTAGGGAATTGAGAGGCCATTGTGGGTGTATGTTTGCTACAGAATCAATGAGACTCTTGGCGGCGAAGAGGTCAAGAGAGTCACTCAAAGATACCGACGTTGGGGAGTTGTTGATGCTTAAATTTTGGCGTTGAGGCGAGTGAGTCTTAATGAAAGTACCGACCGAGTAGGTAGTAAGTACATAACCCCGCCAAACTTCCGACCCCGTCATCGGAGATGAGTCGTGTGTAACCCCACTATGGCATGAGAGTGCTCTCATGGGTCGAGTTTATCGTCGAATGAAAGACTTCAGTTTTTCAATTGGTCGCATCTAGAACGTTTCATGACTGGCAAAGCACATGTTAAAAAGACTCATTGAATGGATAAGTAAGAAAAACCCTCCGAAGAGTTATAATTCGACCCGAAGCATTATGTCATGTCATGCACCTCTATCCCGAGGGTGTCCCAGTATTGATGGATTGTGAGCTTAGGTACCTTATTCAAAGCTTCACCCTTCCTTCATGTAACAAACTTCTCAAATGCAATGCATATGAACAAAGGAATGAAACGCCATTTCATGCACATTAGAACCTCCAAGAACCTCCCTTCGTCCACCACAAAATGTAATTGCCATGTCTTGTCTCGTCTTGTCGATTGCGATCTAAGGTTCAATTGCGCTCTCTCGCTCATCGTTGGAGTAAATTCGGAACTGGACGAAGATGATGAGATCCTCAGCAATGGTGCCCAGAGAGCCAAGCAACCAAGGAAGCGCGTTCAGCAAGTACTTCTTGTCTTGGGAGTAGGCTACCAGGCTGATGCCATAAGTGAGGTTGCCACTCATTGAGAGCATAAAGAAAAGCAATGCGAGACCTGCAGATTATTAGCCTCGTCCATTGATTGCAAGCAAGCAGTGATCAACATACCCTCGCATGACTTTTCCCGGTGGTTCTTGATAATTTGGGGAATTCGAGCACAGAGATAGAGCGCTGCGCTGATGTAGCCCAGAATAAGTCCAGCAAGCTCCATTGGGTTCTGGGCCTCTTCAGGCGCATCGGGGGTACCAGGGTCACCGCTCTCCCAAGCACCGACCTTGTACGAGACAAACCAACCAGCGAACCCAATGACGTACACAGCGAGCAGGCTCAAGGTGTTGTGAAGCCAAGGCTTGCTATCGGGGGTTTCGTCTTCGCCTGTCACAATCTTCCTCAATGGGTCCATCGAGGACTCGGTATGTGTCGCATGGCGGCGCTGAGACCCAGGGAGGCCGAAAGAAGAGCTTCGTCTACGGGACCCGTTGATCAGAGGAGACTCTTCTGTAGGATCGCTTGATCGACGTTCCCCAGCGCGACTCGCCCGGCGGGCATTAAGGGCATTGTAGTAGACGGCCTGGCCGATGAGGACGATATCGGCAATGCAGAAGTATCCTGCTAGGGCAATTGCAGTGGGAGCTAGGTGGGTGAACAAGGCTCCTAGAAAGCAGTTAGCCAAACTGAAAGTTGGCGTGGTGGCAAGCCACTTCTAGCCGATGTCAAATTTTTTGACCAGGGCGGCATCAGACAATGGCGTAGCAATGGTATTTGTCTCTGTGCCGAAGACAAATTTTGATTATGGGGGATTCAGGTAGGAATGAGAACTAACCGATGAGGTTTGTGATATCGCCCAAGAGCCAGACGACCAGAAAGGCCATACTGAGGCCATCGGCGCTCTTGGCCTTGTAATTGGCGAACAATTGGGGTAACTGCAGAGCATCGTTAGCCAAGATGGGGGAGAATTAAGGTCGCGCATGCAATTAAATGTGAATGCGAATGCGAATGCAACACAAGGACGCGCGAATGGGAGAAGAGAGAGGGACGCACGAGGAGACATATCCAAGAGGTCAAGCTGATGCTACCAAAAATGCCCGACAGAGCCAACGTGACCGGTAACGCATGCGCCGCAGCGGCGATTGAGGTTGAGGCCAACAGTGGCATCGTCGTCGTATTCGAAGGTGTTGAAGATGGTAAAATCGAGGAGGAGGAGGAGGAGAAGGAGGAGAATGAGAAGAAGTTTAGATAAGGTCGATCAGATCAAGTAGAAGAGGAAGAGGAAGAGGGTGGTGCGACAAAGGTGGGTATCACGAGGGCAGCCAGCGACAAAGAGAGATCGAGTGAATGAATGTAGATCCAATTCCAGAAGGAGGCTCTGTTCTGATTCAGAGTTTTTTCTCTCTTTCTTTTTCTTCTGGTTGTAGTCTGAAGACGAAAAAAAGAGTAAGATGGAGCAAAAATATTTCAATAAGCAACAAAGTTTGATGTTCCACGAACAACGGTTAACCATACCAAACTCAGGTAAAGCAAAGCAAAGCACTGCAGATACAGATACAGATACAGAACAGACACAGACACAATCACATACTCAGATAAGAAATCCCCATGGGAGGTCGGCCCCGTTGTCGGGTTCAACAGTGGAGGTCTTATCGATCCGTTTGGTAACTGGTCATCGTGTATTGGCCAGTCGAGAGCGCTTATCGTTCAAAGTGACGCACTGGGCTTGGAGATCTTGTGAGCTAATAAAATATGGAGAACTCGCAGGCATTCCAAGGCGCGTGAGTCTTTTTGTGTGAGCCTGTCCTGCCTGTGAGATGCAGGGTCTATCTCCTCCGATAAGAGGCCGATTGACCCTTATCGTGATAGTACTAAGTTACCTTAGGTATTGTCCATCCAGTTCAAGCGACTAACATATGAACTAAACTCGTGGTATTGAGAACTCATGCAGTAACTAACACTGCCTTTGTGATAAACTATCGACCTCAGCTCTTCAAGCTAGAGCAAACCTCAGCAGCCTCAGCTCCATTCTTCCCAGCCACTTTCAATGTTTCACCGTAGAGCGGCACATGCCCGCCATGATTCGCCATAAGCTTGCCTATTCCGCCTCCAGTAGCTAGACCCCTGACAGCTCATGAGCAAACTATCGATCATGCTCCAGAACTAACGTAAACATAGGCGGCCTTAGCCAACCGCTTCGCGCTCAGCTCTCCAGCTTCAAACGCTTTGGTCCAATCTAGAATTCGTCTCTTTCTAATCCGTAACCTTGAGCTTAAGCGTGCTCATCTTTTAAACGTCTCCATCTCCCTGTTGAAGCTTTGCTTTGATTCTATTCCCTTCGTTTCGTGACTGATAAGCCTGCTGCATTCCATAGCGCTCCAGACCTAGCTACCTTACCTAGCGACCGCCCTCACTCTGTTATGATGAAGCTCCTCTCAGCTGGCGCACTGGCTCTTGGCCTCGCTAACTTGCCTAGCACTTTTGCTTGGGGCAGTGAGTTCATTGATTCGTCACAAAACAATTGTTCAATAAGCTCACATATCACAGGTCTCGGTCATATCACCACTGCTTACCTCGCCAGTCATTTTGTCGCAAACACCACCGAAGCTCACCTAAAGTATATTCTCTATAATGACGAGGAAGACTACCTTGCGAAAATAGCATCATGGGCAGACTCGATTCGCTACACAGATTGGGGTCGATACACCAAGACCTTTCACTTCATCGACGCTCACGACAGCCCTCCTAACAAGTGTGACGTCGACTTTGAGCGTGATTGCAAGGACGATGGATGTGTTCTCACCGCCCTCAAGAACTACACCCAGCAATCAGTTGAGCCTCAGCTGCCCTTCTGGCAGCGCAACCAGGCCGCCAAGTTTGTCGTTCACTTTATCGGAGATCTGCACCAGCCTCTACATAACGAGAATGTCGAAAAGGGTGGCAACGGTCTTGCAGTGACATTTGACGGCCGCACATTCAACCTCCACCACGTCTGGGACAGCTCTATCGCTGAGAAGCTGTTGGGTGGTCTGCACGGCGACCCCTTCAAGCTCGCCAACAACTGGGCCAACCAGCTTGCAGTCGAGATCACAGACGGCAAGTTCGCAGAGGCAAAAGACGCGTGGTTGAAGGATCTAGACTTCAGTGACCCCATCAGCACGGCACTTGCTTGGTCCCGAGAGGCCAATGCGCTCGTCTGCACTCACGGTAAGTCGATTACCCCAGCAACGGCTGCCGCATTTGCAACTCGTCTCTAACATGGATCTACAGTTCTGCCCGAAGGTGCCGATGCCATTGTCGGTCAGGAACTGGGAGGCGAGTACTTTGAAAAGGCTGCCCCTGTCATTGAGGAGCAGGTTGCCAAGGCCGGTTACAGAATGGCTGCCTGGCTGGACAAGATCGTTGAGGCTTACAAGGATGTTGAGCAGAAGCAGATGTCCGAGGAGCTCTGATTTATTGTGTATGTAGATTAGAATGTTCTGGATATTCTGCAGCTGGTGGTTTCTCATGAATAAATGTGTCATGGTCATTGAGAATGCAACCTTTGTGATTATAAACTTGGGCTATTTGATGCTCCGCGATATATACACAATATCTTCAATAGTGAATTCCAAGACCACGAAATGCCATGTGGAATCAATGTGCGTGCCTTGGTCCAGAATTTCAAAACATGACATCATTTCAATTAGGAGAATTGAATGATTCAGGCTCGCTTCGTGATCATGATTCATCCAGTGTCAGTCCAAGCCTGAGACGAGTGATCAGTCAACAATTGCTGAAGGATTTTGCAAAAATGCGGATGAAACAGGAACTTTGGGGAAACCGCAAATGTCTTATCGATATTGTAAGCTTAAAATACTGAGTGAGATATTGTTACAGGTCCTGTTACAGGGCACTGTTTGGATGCTACCTCATGGCTGCAACGCCAACATACCTACCTAGGTACCTTGGGGCATTAATGCTATTGCTAGTCTGCGACATACCTGCAACGCGCCTCCAACTTGTCTGTCAGTCGTGAGAACTGGTTGGATAGAGCTTAGATCTGATTGAAAAGTCCGGATGAGATTTAGACTGAACTCAATTAGTCTCAATGTGCCTGAGTTTGTGAGTAAGAATCTTTCTGAATCTCAGACAAGCTGTTAGGTTGGCAGGAATTCGTGAGCATATATCGTGATATGATATAGCAGTATACCTAGGCAGTATACCTAGTAGCTAGTAGCTAGGGTTGTTGGTCTTTCTCTCTTGGCATTATGAGCTACCTACCTAGGCATTAGAAACAGAACGAATTCATAATTACAAAGTTGTTGATGGTGGACGAGTCAAGTCGGCAATCACAAAAATCCCCCATCCCAGAGAGGACATCGTCTATTATTCATCAGATTTTCTCGATCTAGTTGATGAGTTTTCCGTTACAGGGCGGACACTCTCCGACACTGGGGCTTAACAATGGTAGTTTCGAACATCAGTGGACGAAACGCACTGTGCTTGGAGTTATAGGCACCCTGGCAACTAGCTAGATGCAGGTACGGGTTGGCGCATGCTCTGATTGGCTGCGCAACCAGTTACACAACACCAATTGGGAAGGAGGGGGCACGGGCTGAGACGTCTGCAGCCACATCCCATCTCCAACGTCAACTCCTAACTTGGATCTCTACTATTACATACCTACTCACTCAATCACCTCTCGGAGATATGACCATCCGCCAAGACTAGCCAAGCGCTAAGGAAATACACTGCACTCGCTTACAATCGACTAACATTCTCCAACGTCCCTGTTACACCACCTGAGAACAGCCATCTCGACCTGGGCTGCCCTGACTAACAGAGAGCCCAGCCCGAACAGGCATCCCAACTCTGGACCCCTTGGCCAAGCCGTCAGGTCGCTTCTGCCGCTGTCTCATGTTTTCGTTTCTCGGTCTCAGAAGTCCTAGGCAGCCAGCAGTGTCACTGTGCTCCACGATGTTCTGTCTTGGTGTTTCTCATCAAGTTTGATCGCTGCCCCCTTGCCTCTCAAGCGAGAGATGGATCTTGGGTACTGTTGCTCGCTCCAGCCGTCATCCATGGAGTTGTGACCCTGAACCGGGCCCCTTCAACCGCCCAGATGCCATCCGGTCTGATGTGCAAGCCCGAGACGTTGAATTGTCTGGGATTGTCATAATGGAAGCCAGCCTCTTTTCTCGGCAACTTCGTTTCCGATCATCATCTCCAGTTTTCCCCGATGCTTTAAACCCTCGTCCCTTCGTCCCAAACTCGTACCATCTTGTCTTCTCTTCAGCTCTGGTAGTGTCTCTTTCTTTCATTCGTTCCTTTGAGACCAAGTCGACTTTACTGTGACCATTCTTTTTTCTTTATTTCGAATTGGTCTGGCACCGTTCGAAAACTTTTATACAACATTGTATTTGCCCTCGGCTTCATTTCCTTTTTCACTTTCTCTCGGCAAGATCAACATAAAGTCATCACAATGCAGGTCAAAGGCGTAATCATCGCTCTTTTGGGCATCTCTGCCATTACAGAAGCTGCTGTTGTTCAAAAACGACACCCCCTGGCTCGCGCTCTCCAACGACGACAATTCGGCGGCGGTCGATTTGGAGGTGGTGGCCGTGGAGGAGGCGGTGGCGGCAACAATGGTGGTCAGGCCAACAATGGCGGAAACAACAATGGCCAAGCTAACAACGGCGGTAACAACGGCGGCAATAATAATGGAGGCAACAACGGAGGCGGCAACGGCGGTGGCGGCAACACTCTGGACGCCAACGCCGTGCAAACTGGTTCGCAGCAAGATGGCAACAACCCTGGATCGGATGAGCAAGCTGCCTCTGCAACGCAAGTCACATCTACCTTTACTTGAGAAAACCTGGCAACTAACAAGACTTAGGGATGCCAACAACTTCATCAACTTCTGTGCTGGCCAGACACTCACCAATGGAGAGCAAAACCGGGACGGCTCGTGTAACGGTATTCGTAAGTTTTACGATTTACTCTTTCCTCTCTACACATACTGACTCCCACAGCTATGGGAAAGATTCCTGGAGCCAACAACATGGTTTCTTCAGTCTTCACATCGCCTCAAAACGGCGACAACGTTCAAGCCAATCAAGACTTTGATATCTCAGTGCAGTTTATCAACTTTGCACCTGGCTCGTTCACTAATGCAACAACCACCTACTATTCTGCTCCTCAGGACCTAGACGGTGGTGGTAACATCATCGGTCATACCCACGTCACTGTCCAGGACACTGGCGATAGTCTGAACCCTACTCAGCCTTTGGACCCTCAGCAATTTGCCTTCTTCAAGGGTATCAACGATGCTGGAAACGGCCAAGGTCTCCTCACTGCCAAGGTCGACGGCGGTCTGCCTGCCGGCAACTACCGTATCTGCAGTATGTCTGCCGCATCCAACCATCAGCCAGTCCTCATGCCTGTTGCTCAGAGAGGAGCACAGGATGACTGCATTCGTATCACCGTTGGAGGTGGCAACGGCGGCGGCGGCGGCAACAATGGAGGTAACAACGGTGGCAACAACGGAGGTCAGGGCGGCAACAATGCAGGTAACAACGGAGGTCAAGGTGGTGGCCAGAACGGCGGCAACCAAGGTGGCCAAGGTGGTCAAAACGGAGGCCAGAATGGCGGAGACCAAGCAGCTGATGCCGGTGGTGACCAGAATGCTGGTGGCCAAGGTGGTGATCAGAACGGAGGTCAGCAGGGAGGAGACCAGAACGGAGGAGACCAAGCAGCTGATGCCGGCGGTGACCAGAATGCTGGTGGCCAGGGTGGTGATCAAAACGGAGGTCAAGGAGGAGATCAGGGCGGCCAAGGTGGTAACCAGAATGGCGGCGGTGGTCAGGGAGGTCAAGGCGGACAAGGTGGCAACGGAGGTGGCTTCGGTAGAGGTGGCTTCGGTAGAGGTGGCTTCGGTGGTTTCCAGGCGGCTTCGGCAGGGGATGGGTCTGGCAACAAGACAGCCTCAGCAGCATGAAGTTTATGACTGGATATCAAAGAGGGATAGACAGAGCCATTCGACTTGGCCGTGGCCCTGGCGGTTTTCGGTGTGAGTATCAGTGGTGGTACCTAATTCGAGAATAGTATTTCGCTCGAACAAGGACAGTAATCAGGGTGGAGTTTGGGTGTATGCCTAGTTAGAATGGGTTTGGATTTACATCTATGGACAATAGATGATGGATGGGGATATGAGCTGGAGGTGAATGTACGTCAAGACATGTTGTTTATTAGTTGAATAAGATTTGGTCACTCGATTACGATTGTCCTGGGAGTTGTGATTATCTGCTCTGATAGCTGATGGCTCTGTGTATATCCGTACACTGAAAAGAACAAGACAATGGTGTTGAGGCGTGGACTGTACCATACTTAGTAAGGGTACTGTAGTTGTCGCAGAGTTGTGATATGAAACGGGCCTATCAGGGCTCAAACAACAACAGTTTCGCAGCGAGTATAACAAAAGATCAGGTGGATACTCAAGTTATAGAATGGCGGTTATATGTAACAGTCATCAGCATGAACAAGGAAACTGTTGCACAGCCTAGGTACCTCCTCAGTTTTGGTACCTGAGTTTGAGGACTCAAGATTAGTAGTTTCTTTTTATAGTGTTCCTATGTCTAGGTATATATATATATATGCAAGTTAGCTACCCTGTAACTAAGCCCGTCTGGGAGCTTTCGATAACTAGTAAATAAAAACAGATTTAAATATGTGTAAAGAATCTTAGTAAAGAAATCTTATGGCCTGATAGCTTAGGTTCCTTCGAGGAATGATTAGAGAATGCGGATCGCCTACCAAACTCTTGTGTAACCATGAGCATTTGGGAAAGAGAATGATCACATGTCAACATACAGACGTACGATGTAGGAGGGTCACAAAACCAATGACTTGACTTTAGGGCATATTCTTACTAGAATTCGCCTCCAAACCCACTGGAACAGTAACTTTAGAGGTTAGGGTAATGGTAGGTAGATAGGTCAAGGATACGCTTAAATATTATGAAATCCTTAGCTATCTGCTCAAGCCTTTAACACATACAAAGAGAAGAGTTCCTAGAACTGTCCGAAAACACCAAAACCAAATCACAGTGATTGAATCAATCGCCCGCTAGAGAGCCCAGTCTCTATCCGCGCTGAGGACTATCGAAGTATTAGTAAATATGACTCTACCTTAACTACTCATTCCATTGAAAGACGGAACTTACGCGCAACCTTGAGGAGTAACTACGCCAAAAGGACAGTCGCCAGAGAGTTTCTCAACGATTTGGTTGAAGAAAACTGGTGTGACGACGATGCCAGCGCTAACGAGCGAAGCAGCCGCAGAGAGAATCGTGACAAAGACTGTAGTCTTCATGTTGCTGACGGTGATGATGGTGAGTGTATGTATGTATAGATAGTGGCTTGATATTGAGCGATCAGAAGAGAGTGACACTTGAAGTTACAGAACCAGCTGAAACGACAAAAATTAACTAGGTAGACAGGGGGAAGAAGAGAAAGAAATGCGCAGTGCAAAGAATCGAATATGTAGTATGTATATTTTAATGTGTTCAAGGGAAGAACAAAAGAAGAGGGAAAAAGGGAGACTGAGAGGAAAATGGGGTTGGGAGGCGGCAAAAAACAGGGTGTTACAGGGGCGAGACGGTCGAGGTTTCAGGTTGTGAAACGAAACGAGTCTGTTAGTGGTTCGCGAGAGGGAGACTATTAACAAACATGGATTAACTTAGTAGTTAGTACCTACGTAGTCATATCATATGATGCGAAATAGTTATTTGTTGAATAGAACAAGAAAAGGATCAAGTATAGATTCAGTAGGAGACATTCAATTAATTTGAAGCTTGCTTTGACTTGGCTTTCTATTATCCATACCTACCTATAACCCCCCCTAATCTTGCTCTGATAATCATCTACAACGGCGCAGTACGCAACCTTGTTCAACTAGCGACTACAAGGCAAATCATAAGTATAAAGACGAGAAGCCTCAATGTACTAAATCAATAGGAGCCCAGCAAGATTCAAATTAAGCAAAAACTTGACCACCAAAACAAAAAGTCCCCGCGTGTGGCACGCGTCAGGAATGTATTGAAGCTATAGCAACACAGTCGACTATCCATCCTCCAACTCATCAAATCCTTAGTAAACTCCCCCGCTTTGATAGTAACTGTCGGGTGCAGGAGCCGAAGGACCATCGCCGGGCGGCACATAAGGCTTGTATTGAGCCTGACCACCAGCACCACCTTGGCTGGGCAGACCATGACGAGCATCATATCCGCCGGCATTCCCAGGGTTCAGAGGGGGAGGTGTCATGACGCTCTGAGGAGGAGGGGGAGCTGAGCCTGTGGGCATGGGAGGGACTTGAGAGGGGTTGTAGCTCTGGTATTGTTGAGGCTGCTGCTGATGCGTTGCATAAGGACCAGGGGGCGGTGCGCTGGCGTTCTCGTTGGGCTCTTCAGGAGAATACACCGAGCTTGAAAATGTGGCAGCCGAGGTCGGTTGGTGTGGGTTGTTGGTTGCTATAGGGGAGTCGTAGACTGATGTAGCCAACTCTTGGGCTCCGTATGTGCTACCTGGTCGTCCTCCCGTAGGCGCTTGCGTGTAAGGGTTGTTGCTCTGAGATTGGTTGTAAGGGTTGAAGTTGGGGCCCGGTGTCGAGGTATTGATAGGGGCTGGCTGTTTACCATTGGAAGGAGACTCGTTCCGGGGAGGGAAGGGCTGCGAGCCAGCGGGCACTTCAGCTCCGGCTACATAGAAAGGTGCCGGTTGACCTTGGGGTTGGTTCTGGAAGTTAGGGGGAGGAGACGCTGCTTGATAAGGAGGTTGCTCTGTCAAAAGTCAGAAACAAGTTCTTCCATTGCAGGGGCAAAGGACCATCATACCTTGTGGGCCAGGAGTATAATATCTTGAGGGATCCTGAGGAGCTGCTCCCTGGGGAGGATACCCGCCAGCTTGAGGATAGCCCTGGCCGGGACCCGGTCGCATTGCGTATTGCTGGTAGTTGTGCTGAGGGGGATGGGCCATAGAAGACTCCAATAGAGCCTCGTAGTCCCGTCTAGCTTTGATGAACTTTTCGTTTAGCTGTGTAAAGTCATCTGAGGGATGTATGTTAGTATCACATCCAATCCTGGGGGCGTCCAATGCTTACCCTTCTTCTGAGAGTACTTCTCGATCAGCTTGATAAGCTTGGGTCGAATCGCAAGAGTCTGGTGGTAAAGCTTCTGCAGGATCTGTTAACATACTGATGATATTTTCCGTCATACTGGGTGCTTACGGAAATCTCCTCATTATCTTCCTCTCGGGGTGCTGTGTTGGAAGTGCTCAACAACGTGAGGAGCTTCTCAACGTTCTTGATCTCGGCGAACACCTCAGCCTCCATCTGAGCCTCGCGTTGTAGCTCATCCGGTGTGGGATCGGTAAGCTTTTCGACATAATTGAGTGGGAAGATGCCGGTCTTGCCCCTGAGAGAGCCTCGCCACCAGTCCTTGTATACACTCTCGAGAACAGCAATTACATCACCCTTCTTGAATTCCAGCTCTCCGGGCTCAGAAGGAGCAAAGTCGAAGAGCGCACGTACCCGGCTCACCGTGGCCGCTGTAGTTCCAGCCGGCGCAGCAGGAGCAGGGCTCTCTGTCTGGCCACTAGGACCGGCTTGTGCGCCTGGACTGCTTGTAGCAGTCTTCTTGCGCTCCTCCTCCTGCAGACTCAACTTGAGAGCCATCTGCAATTCATCCTCTTCCTTCTGGCGATCGAGCTCGGTGAGGCCCTGCTTCTGAGGAGCACTTGGGGGCTGGATGTTGGGGTTGCTTCGTGTGGCACGGTTGTAGGCATCGCTCATGATGCCCAGCTCGGGATCGCTGCTGAACATCTCGGACCAGCTCTTCATGTGCTCGATAATTTTGGACTTGACTTGTGTGTGGGTATTACGGTCGTTGGTGAGACGGAGGAGGGCATCTGTAAAGGCACGGCTGGAAAGTTCGCGGTGCATGTTCTTCCCACAGTTTTGGGCGAGTGCATGCGCAAGCTGATTGAGTGAGTAAAACAAGGCTTCACATGACGGCGTGGTATTTAACATACCTCGAGAGTGTAGAGCTGGACATTGGCGTTCCGATGCGCAAGGCGTCTAATGATGCTCTGAACAGCTTCCTTGGGGCCATTTGGATCGTTGCCTACTTTGTCGCAGACCTCGATAATGGCGCCCCAATCCTCAGACGTGAGGTTCTCGTCGGTGGCCTTGGCTGTACTGGTGTTAGTCGTAAAGAAAGCATAAATCGAGACAAGAGCAAGTTATCGAGATTCTCTTGTCCGAACCGAATAAAGCGGAGAGCGCTACATACTGACGACGTCATCATAAGGGCCTGCTGCTGAGGCTCGGAACATGGTAGCTGGTGATTTGACTCGGGTTGGGGTATCAGTTATTGGCGTGAATGCGAGCGAGAGAGAGAGAGAGGCGCGGGATGAATTCGTCGGCTGAGAGCCTTGGGTATGTAATGCGAATATCCACCGCAGATAGAAGAAAGGTCTCGACGAAAGCGACGGCGTTGCTGTTTAGAGGTGGTGGAAGAAAGCTGATAATGATGCGAGATGCGAGATGAAGGTCCCGTACCAAAACCCTGGGCTACGTCGTCGGCGGTCGCACTCTCCACACAGGCACGTCACTTGTGGTTTGCTCGATTACTCTCAAAGGGTGGGTAGGTAAGGAAGTTAAGAAGCGTCGTAGGCGTTTGACGTTGTCTTCAGGACGAGGATATAGGTACTACAGTGAATGAGTCAAGTGTGAAGAAGGGAACGAACTACCTAAGGTAAGTATGTGCCTACCTAGTGAATAGAGTAAGGCAGGCTCGTGAGGAGAGTTTGTAGGTAGCGAGTGTTTAAACAGAACAGGCTTCCAGCTTCGCTTTTATTATTAGTGACCTTTGGGCTTTGGCTCGCTCTGATGACGAACGAGCGGCGAGCGAAGTAGCGGGGCTGAGCTACCTACCCCGACCCA